CTATTTCAAATAAATCCTTTCGTTACGAGTGCTCTACTAAATATGCATCTTGGTGTAGGGTATCATATAGTCGGCCCCGCCCGACCTTTGACTTTTCCATGCTGGTGGATATTTAAATGGTTATGCCGGAGAAATTTAATTCTTTCTAGATTATCTCTTTGGGCTATGGTCTTAAATATGATACTCTTTAAAGAGTCCATCAGATGATGGAGAAGTTTTCGTCGGTGGGCATGGAATTCACTTCATAAATCTCTCTTCTGACCAGCTATAAAACCTCTTCTTTGATCACTCCTTCTTGTTGTCTATAAATAGCTTGAAACGTCCGTATATTAGGTCTTGGAATTTATTATTGGGCCTTCCTTCTACTCATCAAATAGAGGTTTCCATCCTCTGCCAGTATGTAAGGACTCTGATCTCTTATAAAGATTTTATTCTGCTAGTTCATAGAATTCCACTGGTCTGATATTAATTCCCCCTTCAGTTCGTCTACAAACGTCGCCCTATTTATGTGTATCAAAAATATAGGGCTATCTTCTGGTAATGATAGGCCTATATTCTGGTTAATATATGTCTCTCTTCAGGTCTCCATAGGTCTTAGGTCTTCAATCTACAATATGCATACCTTTCATAAAGAACACCTTTTGGTGTGAGTAACTGTTTCATAGTTTATTTTCTATAGTTTAAAAATCTCTTGCAGATTTAATCGTCTATAAGGATTCTTAAGGACGGCAATATACACTTTTTGGTAAATTATAAATATCATCTTTTAGTCATGTTTTTGAGTAGTAATCTAAACGACTATATGAAGATGATTTCACCCTTGAGCCTTTATTTATAATTTTCCGTTTTATAGTCGTACATGCCTAAAAAGTACTCGATCATAGAGGGTCGAACTTTCAAATTATGGATCCATCCTACTTGTAACCACTCATAAAAAATTCCGAAATTTTCTAAAATCTTTAGAGGTTTTAATAAGTTTATTATTTTTATTGTTATAACTACTGGATAACGACGTTCTATCGATATATTGCATTGGCCTATCGTATCTTTTATTTCTGGTACCTCTCATAAATTGGACCAAATTAATTAGAAAATTTTCTATAAAATTGTGGTCATAATAGGAAAAATTTAAAATATTTGTTTTATGAATATCTCGAGAGAAAATTTAAAGAACTTGTTATCAACAAATCCAAAATATTTTCGATAGCATGGAAATAATCTGATTATTTTGGGAACAAAACGAAAGTATTGGGGTACCGATTCATATTTGCAGTACCAAAAATATTAATCGTATCACAATTCGGACCCAAAAATGTAGAAATGTATAAGGCCTGGGAATAATAGAAATAGTGCATTATCATCTGTATGGAGGTATGGTACAACACGCCACAAAATTCTACATTTAGGTAGGGATAATAATGCCTCTGAAATAATCTAATATTTCTTCGTTAAAACAATATCTATTCCTTGAAAATTTTTTCGTCTAAAATTCAGCCATAGTGTTGGTCGAATATCAGTCAATATATGTGATTTACACTCAGTGGAAATGTCCCATTTTCACTTCACCAGACTCTCGCATACCACTAGTTATGCATTTGCAATTTACCGTGTAGCTATGTGTGTCGGTATGTATGAATCGAGATATTGCCACGTGTAATTATTTGCGTTCATCTGGAGGCTACAAATGGATTTTTTTGCAGTACCGAAGGCGACAAAAGTGGCTGCAGAAAGGGGGATTTTTTTTGTTGTTGCTGTATTGGAGAACCTGTTTTCTCACGTCTTGGCGTTGTGTGGTTTGATTTTTGTGTAAACGAGTGTGTGTCTTTGCTGTTCGCTTCTTCTGTAACGCAAAGAATATTAATTCATCTAAGCATAAACGAAAGCCAATTGTTAATTACAAAAATTTATTTAGATTTTTTTGTTGTATTTTTGGTTTCCAGCATTAATTAATCGTGCTATTCACGAATTGGCCTCTAGTTGATATTTTGGTGGGGTGTATTTTTACAGTTCGATGTTGTTATTGTTAATTTGGCATACATATTTTTTTTCTTGTTTGTAGTGGAGTCTGAAATGAATACCTACTCTTCTGAAATGTAGCATGAAATGAATTTTCAAGCAAAAAAAGTAATAACAACAAACAGAAACACACTTGAATACAAACTTACATACATACATATGTATATATTTGTATTTATACAAACAGACATGGTGTTGCGTATAGTTTGCGTAAAGAGTAATAATAACACGTATTCTGTGCATGCCTCTGTTAATAACAAAAGAATGCCAGCTGTATAACAGACACAGCAGTAACCCCACCGAATGGTTCTGCTTTTTTACTCCCCCATTTGTAGGTATCACATACATATAAGTGTATTTTACAAGCCCCCTCTCTCCCGCTCCCAACGGCTCCAGGGAGAATATCAACAAATATCTGTTGTGAGCAACAGTTTATAAAGTTTCGAGGAGATTAACATTACCACCCCACATATTTTACTTTCAAAGAGCAATGCATTGAATAGAAGAGAAAAGAAGAGAATCGACATTACTAACGGAAAACAGAAATAATTGAGTTTCGTTTCGTGACTCATTCTGAATTAAAGAGAATCGATCGATTGTTGTTATTTTTAATTATAAACAAAAAATATCACTTTGTTATTTTTGAATTAAATAAAATTCATTTATTTTACAAAGTTAAGTTATAATTAAAGGATTGATGTGATTTTTTTGATTGTTGTAAAATATTGTTCTTTACAAAAATTTTGTAGGAATAAGAGACGAAATATATGTTATAATCATGCGTTTGCAATAGACAAGGCAAATAAGCTCAAGTTTATTTTTCAATAGAACATATTTTGACTATTCAGACATTTGTAAAAAAAAAAATAAACATTTTTCTGATTTTTATTTTATTTTATTCGACATTTATTTTAAATAATTTAAGTTTATTAAAATTGAGCTCGAGCTTTTTGTTGGTTTTTTATTGTTTATTTTCGATATTTCGTCCTATGACGGAAGATATCATCAGTAACAATGATATTTAAACACATAACCACAAAATACAAAATCGCCAAGTACCGACGTCGACTATGGATTGCTGTCATCTGTTTCGTTAAAAAACAAAGACATCGAGCTCAATTTTATTAAACTTACATTTGAAATATATATAAATAAAAAAATGTAGATATTTTATTCGTTTTCCTCTAGTTTGGTTCCAAAGAAAATTGATTGCTTTGCTTCAAAATTTGTTTGCAATGTCAAACATTTTTAGAATTCACTGTGTAAATATGAGGCACAAAAGTTCAAAAATGTAACGGAAAATAATTTACCTCATAGAACAATAAAGGATCAACCTATTTTGTTCAAACTTTACAGATCCTAATATTTTTGAATAATAATAACTCTTTTAAAATATGAAATAGGAGTCGCACTGCCTTTAAATTTCCCACATCTCAATATTTTTGCCAGCACAATATCTGGTATGAGGAACAGACCACTTCTTCTGGAACCTCCCCAAAAACGGGTCTACGTATTGAATAACCATGAAGCTCCTAAAACTCGAAATAACACAGGATCTGGTGTGAAGATGGTAGATCTGGTACCTAGCCCACCAGGGGTCAAAATTATGAATAACTAAAATGCGAAATAAACATCTGATTCTATTCAAATTTCACATATCCCAATATTATCCACATTTTCGTATAGCCCCCATACAACGGTACCTCTTCATATTCGATATTTTCATGATTTCAGAGGCATTATTTACCGTAATTATTTCAAATTTCGTATTTGAAGTTCGTAATGGGTATTACAGCCTATGACAAACATTTTTGTATGCAGGTCCACGTCTTCGTATAGCCTCCATATAACGGCTGCTCCCAATACTCGGTATTTTTATGACTTTAGCAACATTATTCACCGGAATTGTAACAAAGTTCGTATTTAAAGGTCGTAAAGGGTACTACAGCCTATGAAAAAAAATTGGTATGTAGGTTGACGTTTTCGTATATTCCCCCTATAACGGTACATCCCGATATTTGGTATTTTGATGATAACATTATTCACCAAAATTGTAACAAGTTTCGTATTTAAAGGTCGTAATGGGTACTACAGCCTATGACCAACAATTTCGTAAGCAGGTCCACGTCTTCGTATAGTCTCCATATAACAGTTTTCACTTAAGTGGTAGTTTCCAAAATTTTTTTGAAATTTTTAAGTTCCTTCCAAATGGTGTTCCTTCCAAATGGGTATTAAAAGTTCGGCCCGGCCGAACTTAGCCTCTTTTTTACTTTTTTTTTTTAAGATCCAAAATTTCAAACCAGGATCTTAGGTAGAAATGAAGCCAAGACCTTTAAAATACCGAAAATCAGTATTACCTAGGGACTATACCTTAACGTGGACCGATTTATCCCACCAATCATCCTAGGTATAATACCAATGCCTGTACAAAATTTCAAATCTCTCTTCTATTTTTTTTCCTATCTTCATCATCCTAATTTTAAAACTAGATCCCCTCAAATAAAATCAAAGTTAAACAGCACTGATGTAAAATGTTATACGTTTTTTTTCCTTCGGATTTTAATTATTTTCTTGTTGTTTTAATAAAATTTTTATTTTTGTTTTATGTTCGGAAATTTTTTGTTTTTTTTTTTATAAGATGTTACGAAAGGTTTTTCTTTTCGATCTCCAAAATGACCCTGCGTATTTGAAGTACTTATCCCTCATAAAGGTATATTTAAATAAATCTGGCAACCCTTGACAGAGTGTGGTTTTGCATATTCCCTAATTCATATAAACCTACCAAATATTGTAATAACAGTGCCTCAAAACAATGTCGACTGAAATATTTACTGCGTTTATTAAGATATTCCTACCAAATACGCAACCCGTTATGTTTGCTAATTTTTTAAATATTATGTTATCTAAGAAAATCATTGGTTGGATTAATTCTAGGATTAACGTAACTAAATAATGTTAACTACATATGTATATAAATGACTTACCTTAAATTTTGTAGAATAGGTATTACATTTGATCCGAAATATTGCACTTTTTTATAAACAAAATCACACAACCGCCACAAAATTTATTTTATAAACAATCTGTCACGTCCTCCCGGGTAGTTAGTTACCAACTCAGAGTGTTGGTGATGTTGCGATTCAATATTTTTGTGGATTGAGAAAGAAATCATTTTTTGGCTACAAAACCACATTTTAAGAGCTTTGTGATGATACTTTACTTCCTCTCACTCTCTTCGTGGCTTTCGCTCTGTCACGGCAAATTGTTTCAAGTGTCGATGGCAACAGTGTCGTCGGCCTGCTTTGTTCTCTTCATTACTAAGAGAATCAATTTCAAAATATGGAAATGTTAGTGTCAATGCAAGGCACAAGACAATGCCAGTAGAGCCGCGGCGCGCCAACCGCAGCAGGCAACAAACATTTCTTGGTTCTTATCACCAACACCGACAACACCACCACCAACACTGCCGCCAGCCCCACATCCACGAGTGCCAACATGTGTTTCCACTTGCTGTAATCTCATATCAAACGCTTTAACTTGGACGGTGGGGAGATTATCGAAAGAGTATTACTTAACAGTGAGCAGAGACGCACAGGCACACACACACATACACACCGACAAACACCCCCCAACATTTTGTAAACGTTGGGGATAAGAGACGTCTGTCTCTGTGAGAGAGAGTTTGACTCTGGCGACGAGTTAAGTGTTGCTGCTACTTCTGGGACACACGGACGATTTGCGCCCAATAATAGCCCAAGTGCCTGCTTCTACAAGAGTTTAGTCAGTGATCTTTAGCCGTGGACGTAACAACGCGTACTTGGGCCTAACGGAAGTCAGTTCATTTTCCAATATTCTTTGTTTTTTTTTAAGACCATTTTTTGTACTCTTTTTTGTGAAACTGAAACAAAAGTAAATACAATTTTATTTTGAGGCAAAAAAAAAAAAAAAAACAGAAATAAGAAATTTAAAATATTTCGAACGAATTCTGAGGTGAATTAATTCAGATCTCAAGAAAAACAATTTTATGGTGCCTGTTTTGTTTGCTCTTTTGCATTGAAAGGAAAATAAAAAGAATTATAAAATAAAGTAAATAACCTCAAAATATTGCAAAAAAAAAAAAAAATAATGAAATAAAAGAACAAGTAAAACAAAACAAACTGCAATTACAAAAAAAAAAGAGAAAATATCACACACAAAAAAGAAACAAGAACGTAATTTAATGCTCGAAACAAAAGAAGAAAAAAACACCACAACAAATTGAAAAAAGTTATATTTTTCATTCCGTACAATATTGAATGTTTTCAAGTGTTGAAAAGTATTTTTAAGTATTAAAATAAAGGAAAAGAATTGGAGTCACTTCTAAGAATCTGAAAAATTCCAATTGAAATTCATCAACACACACTTTTGAAACAATAAGATTTAGGGTGGTATTTGTAGCTCCACATTTTATGTTTCAAATTCCGACGGCAAGAACCTCAGAATAGGCAGAATACGATTTAAAAAAATTAATATTACATGAAATAAAATTTCATTAGGTCAGTCATTCTTTATACCCTACACTAAGACTAAACTCTTCATGCCACTCAGATATCCAAGCTCCGATTTCACTTCCTCGAAGATATACGAATTCAACAAAACCTGAATATTATATTTTCGAACTACTATTTATTTTCATAGTATTTTAAATACAATTTTGAAAAATTCGAACATCAAATTTCAATCAGATTGAAAAGAACCTTTCCGATTTTTTATAGGAGTTGATTTTTTTAGGGTTCTTAGGATATCGAAACTTTTGTATATTTGTATCTTTTGGTCTCATAAATTTGAAACACTCTTCATAAAAATATCACAGAATTTTTAGATTCCAAAATTGTCGTATTCTTAGATTCAGAATTGAATGAAAAAATATACAGAGGAAAACACACTTGGGCATCTCGAAGTTAAAGATTTTAAATTCTCTTTCCACAGCAAAAATTGTAAAAATAATTTTAAAACCAAATTCAGTCTCTGATAAAAGTTCCTGAAATAATACAGATCTTAAGATCTCATCTTGAAGTTAAAGACTTTAAATTCACTTTCCACAGCAAAAATTATAAAAATTTGTTTTGGAACCAAATTCAGTCTCTGATAAAAGCTCGCGAAATCATACAGATCTTAAGATCTCTTTTTTGTAATAAAAACTAAACATTAATTTTGCCAATCGCGTAAAATCGTAAAATTCGTCAATTTTTAAATAATTGGTTTTCACTTGAATATCGCTTGTTACCATTAGAACCCTGGACCCAGAAATCCCAAAAATCTCGTACTTTTTATTACGAAAATATCAGTTTCTGTTTCAATACGAATCTCTTCATAACTCCTTTGCACGTTTTGCCCCACTTTTTACTCCTTTCGAATTTTATTTTAGACTTGAAGTGCATTTGGTGTAGGGTATAACATCGTTCGGCCCCGCCGATCACAGCCCTTTCAAACGTAACAAATTATTGAAATTATTATTTCATTTTAAAGGAGATAACACTTTTTTCGCTATTTGTTGTTTTAACAATTATTATTGTAATTCATGCTATTTTTTTTTTCTTAATTTTTGTTGTTGTTTTCAATTTCCATTAGTTTCTAATCTGTCTTCTCTTCTCTCACTATTCTATTTTTATAGGATCGTGCTCTTTTGTGTCTCCTTTTTCTTATCTAGTCCAATTCTTGCTGTTTTTTATAGCCAAGAAACAAAAACAACAACAACAACAGCATTACAAACAAACAAACAAACGCACACATAGCCCACGCACGCATAAAACAAAAACACGCTCCACAGCTCCTTGTTGCCCAAAAATCACCACCCACAAAACTAAAGTAAACTAAAAAAACAGAGAGCACATCGATCTTTTCATCATCAAACGCTTCTTCTACTTCTTGCCTTCACTGAAAAAAAATTAAATTTGAAATTTTTTGAAACCAAAACCAAAAAAAGAAAGAAAAACAAATAAATACAACCAACCAAACTAAACGCCACATTTTTCGCCAGCAGAAGTAACCGAAACAAACGAATTAGTACAAAATGTCCAAAAAGAACGGTGAAACCAAATACGTCCCCACAGAATTCCAATTCTATGCGCCCAAGGAGAAGCAGTCGATCGGCCAATTTCTGCACAACTCAAAGGATGGCACCTATTTGGGTCGTACACCCAAAAGTTGGGGTAAGTTTTTATCGAAATTTTACATTAAATTTCAATCTAGATTTGAGAGTACCAATGAGAAAGAGAAATATTATACCAATATGTTTTTCAAATTTTTTTAATTTAGGTCAAAAATTTAAAAAATATAAAAATCAAATTTTGGATTCTCTTGAGACTTAAAACTCGATATATCCAATGATATATATCTAGGCTATTTATATGAAAATATATATTTAAGAAAGTCGAATTTATATAAAAATATCATAGGTCTGAAAAAGGCCTTTGTCTCCTTAATTTTCAACTTTTCATTACAATAGTGTAAAGAAATGATCAGATTACAATACTTATCTGAGCAACTTGTTTATCAGTTTCCGCCTTCGTTTAATCGCTATCTTTCATTCGGTATCTGGAAAAAGATTTGCAAATGAAGATAACGCTTGTATATTCTTGGGATAGTCATGACTTGCCAGATTCTTTAAGGGAAATTTACACACCCACACCCCACAATCTTAATCGCAAATATTTATGACATCCTTATGAGGAAAGAAATATTTACTCCCATTCCTTAAAAACAGTTCATTTGTTGGAGGATTTCGCAAAAAAATAACAGTTTTAAGGTAGTCTATCTATTTAGCAAAATTTTCTTTAATATTTAATTATGAGAATTTGAAAAATTCGTATTAATTGTATGAATATTTGCCTGATTCTAATACCAGTACATATCCTCTGATGGCTTTCTTTTTCATTTTCGAGGAGGATATATTTGAATATTTAACTATTTCAGGGTCAGGGGTCGAATTTCGGGGAAAACCCAAATTGCGGTATTAAAGCCTATTACGTTGGAAATAAGAGTTGAAATAATAGAAATATTGAATATCTGAAAGTACCGTTACATGGAGGGTATACCAAATAATGGTTACATGCTGAACCCAAACATTTTCATAAAATACTGGAAGGTCTTATCTTAGAAGACTAGAAGGTGTTTTCATAGAAGTAGGGAAGGTATTCTCAAAGAAGAAGGGAAAGTCTCCGCCTAGAAGACTAGAAGTTCTTCTCATAGTAGACGGAGGGTCTTCTCATAGATGAATGAAAAGTCTTCTCAGGAATGTCTTCTCTTAGAAAACTGGAAGATCTTTTCAAAGAAGACTGGAAGATATTCTTATAGAAGACGGGAAGGTCTTCTACTAGAAGCCGGGAAGGTCCTTTCATAGAAGATGGGAAGGTCTTTTTATAGAAGACGGGGAGGTCTTCTCAAAGAAGAATTGAAGGTTTTCTTATAGAAGACTGGAAGGTTTTCTCGTAGAAGACGGGAAGTTCTTCTCATAGAAGACGAGAAGTTCTTCTCATAGAAGACGGGAAGGCTTGAGGTGATCCGGTATCGGTATCCGGAGATTTTGGTGGTCATTATGCGCTGGAATGAAGCGAGGAATCTCATTTTGTAACCACTTTTGGGTGGCGCGTGCTGAGTCCTGTTGGAATGTTCTGCTCACGAGTAATTTTTCGGTCACTGCGATGCGGGTTTCGTTCAAGTCGCTTCTTTACTTTTCGAACCATTTCTGTTGATATTGATGTTTTCTTCCATCCTTTTCCTTGACGTCGGGCCACGCTACCAGTATCACGGTAACGAGAGATGGTACGAGACACAACAGATTTATTCATATTTAAATTCTGGAGTGCTCTAACGATAGCCACTTGTGGTTTTCCAGCCAAATATAAAGAAATCACACTATCACGATGGAATTCCAACAGGAAGAACCTTTTTTCTGGAAAATGCTCACCAAAATGCTTTTGTACGATTGTAAACAATATAATGAGCTATCACTGGAAAAATTTTAACAGCTGTCGAACGAGTGGCTTAGAAATGACAGTAGTCTGAAGTTGCTTGCAGTTTTTTCATCTCTCCCTGTGTTTCCAGATTTTAAAAATAGGATATCAAAATTATCATAACCTCTCGCAGAATATGGGAAGCGTACATACATAATATTTATACCAATATTGCACATGCATATTTCAACGTTTGGCCGATTTTTACCATAGACCCCAAAATATAATTGTTGAGAAATATTCCACACAAAAAATATTCCAATCCTTTATCTTTTCAATTACTATCATAATTTTTAAGTCGTCTGTTTGCAAACAGATTAAACTGGAAATTGCCACTTTGTCTAAGAATTTTTCATATAGCCAACCCAACCCGTTCGTTTTGGTTTTTAGCCAACCTTTAATTTGACGAATAATATTTTTTTTCCAGCCAGCTTTGTTTTATAGTTAAATTATATGACTGGCAATCGTAAAAGTATTTTATTTTACTATAATAAAAAAAACAAAACAAAATATTTTTCTGCTTATCAGTTGTTCCGTTTGTTTGCATTTCATTAACTGTCTCTCTAGAAAAAAAAAATAAAAATCCAAAGGGATGGTGGGTGATGATGATGACACTAATGTGAGATACTCA